GAAACCTACTAACAGTTCTACTGACACCTTTAGATTATTTTTGTCCTTTAAGTTAAATAAGACTGTCCTGTGTTAACCTTTTTAAAAATCTAAAAACTGTGAAACGCCTTTCGTATCTAATCAAAGTTGTTCAATTAAGTGAATAAAAAAAGTAAGAAATTTACATTATGTAATGAAGTGTTTACAAACTCTATTTTCTCTCCTAATTGATTCACAGACAGTCTCAATCAATTCCTTTAACTGGTACCCTAGTGTGTTCGCTTATCACTATATTAACGAAGTTATAGGTGGGATGGGGAGACCGTTTTATCATTTGCTGCATTGTTTGCAGTGTGCAATGAGAGAGTTTGTCGGGACAACGACATAAGCCCTCTCTTGGCAACTGTCTAGGGAACTTGATTGAAAGACGTACATCCTTAAGGGTGGGTTGATCTTAGTGTTCAGTCGACTCAGAGGCAGGGTTTTCGGTTTATAAAATCAGGCGACAGACCAAAAGACCAAGACAACTATGAAATTGTAGCCTAAATATATAATATTTTAGAGAATCGTTCCAGCTGTCTACATACTGTGGGCCAAAATCCATTACAGAATAAAGATACAATTTCAAATATCTCTCACGGAATCGATTGAAAACTGAAAGATAAATGATCCTGACCCACGTTGGTAGGGGAAAATTGATTTTGTGTTTAGTAGCCTAAAGCCAGTCATGAGAGAGTAGGGCCTATGCTAAGGGATAAAAAGTGTGTCTGGAAATGAGGGATGGATTATATTGCGGGAAGGAATTCAAAAAATTCAATTTTGGAGCTGTTTTGGCCTATTCTTTTTCAATTTCCAACATTCGGTGTATCACTCACGTAGGCCTAGGCTAGGCTCCCTGCATGGTCTGAGATAGTGACACAGTGTGTCGCAGTCTAACGGGACAAAAAGGGGGGAATTTCGCAACATTTCACTGTTTCAAAAATTCAGACAGAATCGGCAATTAAATTGTTTACCTCTGAAGTAATGTATATCGGATTTTAGGTGGTCTTTGATGTCTTAATCTATTTTTTTCTTATAATTTCGCACCTTTGTTTACAAACAAAGGTCGGCCATTTTAAGGCTGATGTATCAAGCGTTTTGATTGGCTGTTTTAAGATAACGTTGTCCACGTGTGCATTGAGAGTTATCTCCCCTTGACAACCCAATTATATTCCCGCCAGGTGACACAAAAGAAAAACAAACAACGGTAATTTTCAAATTTTAAGGCTTTTCGGGACTTAAACACGCAATTTTCTTCTGGCAAGTGAAAAAAAGTAAGCGAAAGTAATAATTACGACAGCTACAATCGTCTTTTTAAATTAAAATCGACAGACAATGTAAAAACAAAGCAGTACAATCGAATTTTTACAATCGTGTTAATAGTCAATTTCCCCTAGGCCTAATCAAAATGGTCCTAAAATTCGGTCAAAATGTCCACCATAATCTACTCCAGCCCTTTCGCAACACAAATCCTTGCTTCAAGCAGCTTGAATTACATGCAAAGTGAACCCCTTTTCTCTCTAATTGTGCATTTGATGCCCCTAAAACTAAAGGTTTTCTCCCTTGTGTAAATGAAATGTTTTGGGGTACCGGTAGCCTAATTCACAAAAGGCATAAAACAAACACACTAAACAAGAATTATCAATATTTATTGCTTGAATACAACAAAAATATAAAATTTAAATTGATTATAAAAGAAATGATGATATTGAATGATAAAATGAGTCATGATTAAAATGAAAATTATGAAATAAAGTTAAAAATTTGTAAAAGGTAGAGATCTAAATATTTGTTCATAAAAAGGCAAGAAGTATTAGTTTACCATACAGATATTAAAAAAACCCACAATAATAAACTGCCAACCTCCCAACAGACACCTGCCATTGTTTCTAACACAATCTGCTTGCCAACTAGACACATTATTTTTGTATAATTTGACCCTCTAAATAAATAAGCCAATTATTGAACCCCTCCCCCCTCCATTCCAAAGTATTTGATTCTGTTAACCTACATCATTTAACAGTGGTTAATTTAGTCAAATACACCACATTCTTAACCTGGGACATATTCTCCAAAACTTAACTTAAATAAAAACCAGAATTGTAAGACAGTAATCTGATTGGATAATAAAACAAAATTTAAAATCAATTGTAGTGATTAACCATTCAGATGACTGGAACACTAAAATTATCTTAAATTGAGTTTTCAAGAATAAGGCCCCTGCTCTTTACAAACAAATTATATTCAGGAGTCCTTGGGTATCATATCTTCATGCCTCCATTCCATCTTTTTGCACTTTTCCCTTTCAACCAATTAAAAGCCTGTGAATGGGGTAAGTCTATACATGTATCCAAGCGTATAGCTAGCCCAGGGTCTCAGGGAGGCCAAATTTTTTGAAGGGGGGCTGAACTATAGCCACTTAACAAGTCTTTAGGTCATCTAAATTTTTCAGGGGGGCTCAAAATTTTCTTTGGCGGGGTCTCTTCCCCCCCAACCTCCCCCCTGTCCCCTCTCTAGCTAAGGGCATGCATGTATCAATGAAGTGAAGTCTTTAACTCTCTCTTTAACAAATAAACAGATTCATAACAATTACAAAAAAACACTTCTAGGTCCTGTCAAATCATACAGCTAGGAATTACAATCAGACATGACAGGCTGATACCAAAAAAAAGTCCCACATTCATGTCTAGAAAACACACTCATCATCATTCAGGATTTCTAAGAGGTCATATGTAATCCCTAGTCAGATGCACAGTTTAGCCAACCCTAAATAAAACATCTTAAAACACGTTCACTCTTATTCTTCTCCTCATGGCTTCATATGAAAGTATTACACCTTTTTAGAAAATATCCATTATTAAATTCCAAAACACAACACGACAGTTTCTTTCACTGTTCACCACTCTTAGTCTCAAAAATCTGTCATAGGATAAACCATAAACAAAGACCATCCTGAATAATTCAAATATTCACTTCAAAAAAACTAATACACTTGTTCCTTTCACTTCGTATGAGCCATCCTCTGGAGTCTGCCAAGGGACAGACCATAAAACATTTCAAATATGGGCCTTCTACTCTCTTCACAGAACATAACTTCCTAACTTGGAATGGTGTGAGATAAAATTCCACTAAAAGTTCCACACTCATCATTCTGCTTCATCGTCAGACGTTGATTCCATATCTCCCGAAAATAACGCTTCCGTTAAAATCTCATCCACGTTTTGAGCGAGATCCAAGATGGCCGAAGATTGGCACTCCGAAATGAGTCTCTCTACAATATGTTCTATATGATGATCATGAAAGGCCTTCACAAAAACAGGATCTGAAATACAGAATTCAAATTACTAATGGTAGATAACTCTAATTTATAACAGAGCAAATTTGAGGCATAATATATATAAATTGCCTGTTATAAACTTTACATTAATGAGTGCTAGGGCTTTTCTAATAAAGCATCTCTGAAAATTAATTTGTTTATGCCTACAACCTATTGATATATGTAGATTAGAAATATCCACCTGTATGTCCCTTTTGCAAACTTAAGCACAGTAACATGTCCATTCTGATTCTCACCCTTTTGTAAAAATATCCTAGCACCAAGGTTATTTTGAAGACAGTTTAGAATCAAAAATATACACACATACCTTTGAGAAGTTGTCCGAGTGTCCAGAGACCAATATGTACAAAGTTATCATCACTGGACTTTAAAAACTTGTCTATATACAGCACTATTCCTAGTTTATTGGTTTCTTTAATAGACTCTGGAATACCTGTTAATACACATAATCAAAATTAATATTAAACTTAGAGGGAAGTATCAGATAGTATCAAAATAACAAACATTGTGTTAAAAATTCTCTATCCTTGTGTGCACTGACTTATCAGTTTTATAACATGATTCTGAGTTTTTATATTAATGTGAATTTCATGTGCTTGTAACTTGCTTGAATATTTCAAAACTTTTAAACATTAAGACTCCATTTTATATCCTATCCCTTCAACTATAACAAACTAATGTTGATTGGATAAATGAAGCCAGTTACTCAATCTTGCTGGTTGTGAAGAGCTAACAAACTAATGTTCAGTGATAAAAGGACCTGGTCAGTCAACCTTTCTGATTGTAAAAGGCTTAAAAAAAACGGCTTACCATATAAACTAAGTTGACCAATAATGCCTGCACTGTTATACTGGACGTCTGAACTGGGTGAAAGAGAGGCTAGGGACACAAGACGGTAGAAAACTTGACCTTCCTGAGCTGTTAATAACTTCCTCTTAATGAAATCTAAAACAATAAACATCAGGTATCATGATATACACTGTTATAGGAATTAATATTGTTAGTCATATCTACTGATAAAAAAATACAGAAATATTGTGATATATTAATATATTAATGCTAAATATTATCTACTTGAGCCAATATCTCCCAGCTGTAATTAGTGGGTTGTTTAAATATAAGCAGGGGTGGGGAGTAATGCCACGCTACATTACTATAAAAAGGATATTCTATGATACATATCATGATAAAGGTTAATAGACAAATAGGAACACTTCATTTCAACTGTATAAGCCATAGAAGACTTCTTACGTTGTTTGACAACCTTCTCTCTCTAATACAATATTCATTAACAAACAGGAAGTACTTACTCTCATCTGCCATGACAGCTAGTACTGCTGTGACCTCCACCAATACTACTGGCTTGGTGTCCATATCTAACAAACTGTGGGTCAGTGCTCCTAGACAATCAGCCTCTATCACAGCCTGGGTCAATAGAAATTGGAAATAAATACATGATCTAAGACAGGGAGAAATAGTTAGGTTATCTTCACAAGCTATTACAATATTAAGGCTTAGGGTTTACAGATCTTCTGTCAAGGCCTCTGTTTGGCTGTATTTTCTTGCACACAATCCAATCAAAATGCTTCATTTAGGCCTACAAATTACCTTGATATAAAAAAAAGGTGGCTATTGCAGTCAAGGATTAAGACGAAGTTATGCTAATCAATGATTGTAAATTCAGATTAATACATACTTGCGTTTGATCTCCCACCACTAAATTACGTAAAATACCAGCCGAGTGGCGCTGAGCCTCAATATTGGTACCAGTCTTTAAAATATAACACAAGTCTGCCAGGAATCCCTGTTTGACTATAGCTGCCTGAAATTAGAATCAAAACCTTTGACTATCCATGTCTCTTCAAGCTATTCACCTTCCATCTAATACTACAAGCTATCTTTCTTCTGTCTTTAGGGTGTCCTTGTTTACTACTGCCACTGCTAATTCTCCGTCTTTGATTATTTCCAGGTTTTGATATTTACATGGTGCCAGGAGCCACACCAAAGATGTGATATTGAAGTACAAGAAGAGAGGCATCACATTGAATTAAAAAGGGCTTTTATAGCAGAGGTACGTAAACCTAGGGGTACCAGTATCAGCCCTGCCCTGGGCATACTTACAGACATCAAGAGAGTATCTTAGTAGAGTTTTAAATCATTAGTAGTTGTTTAGTATATTAGACAAAAGGGTAATATGGCATTGAAAGGAAAAAAAATGGGTAAAGCCGTGCCAAGTCAGAGTGTAGTGAAACTTTGATTAATTTCACAAATAGATTTTAAAGAATATAAATTTTGACTGAAAAGTCGAGCAACAACATCAACTTGCCTCGTTAGCCTTCAGTATTGAGAGATTACGAAGACACCCAACTGCTGCTCCTAGTGTTTCTCGGCTAGAATTACGAATGACTTTCATTAAGGGATCCAAAACCCCAAATCTCACCATCCAAATCTGGTTGTCTCCTGTAAATAATGGAGAAAGTTTCTCTAGATTTCGAGTGGGAAAAATATCATGAAACATGTGCTACAGACTGAAATATTAATAATAAAACTTTGTCCTTTTGGGTAGGACAGAAAATTGAACACAGTGTTCTAAAGACCGAATGATCTTTAAAAATTGAAAATGGAACCAAGATAATTCTATCACTATCTTGAAAAAGTTTCCCTCATTGCACACAGCACCCTTTAACAAATTGCCTGTACATTAAGATATACCAAACAGTAGCAAGATAATATCAGTTTATGGAATAACTATTGCACATTGTGAATAAGTTCAAATATATAACTATAACTTACCGTCTGAAGCGAGATTTCTTAAAGCATAACTTGCTTGACATTTTACCTGCAAGATAATTATTTTATTAAGAAAAACAAACAGCTATATCACTGACTTCTCTTCTCCTGTTTCCAGTCCAGCTGTCTTGTTGAGGGTTTTTAACTAAGAAGTTGTATTACCTTTTCTCTTCTGCACGCTAATAATTTGATGAGATCGCGAATTATGTCATGGTTACCAATAGCAACCATCATAATACGATGTATATCATTGACAGCAATATTACTGAGAGCTGCGGCACTGTAATACTGTACTTCTTCATCATTGGATGATAATAATAGTATCAGTATTGGTAACGCCCCCTTGTCTACTAACTCAGCTCTGTTTGATTCTGTAAGATTAAAATAAAAGCCTATCATTGGATGATAATAATAGTATCAATATTGGTAACGCCCCTTGCCTCCCTGAGCTTCAGCCCTTTGGGCCTTCAATTGGAGAGACACGCCACAAGGCCTTTTCTAGTTACGCTCTCGCTACATTCATACGATGGATTTGTATGGTTTAGACTCAGTCATTAACTTACCTAAATGAGTAAGATTAAGAACTGCGCCAGCTGCATTACGTTGTACTCTGACATCACTAGAATTAAGTAAACGTAGTAATGGTATGATACCATTCTCTGTTGCTATAGTTTTCTTTGTTGAATCTTAAACAACAATGTATTAAAGTGTTTGGCTTCCCTCAATCTTACAGATAATTGTTAAAACAAACTCAAAGTGCCAAATTGGCATCTGGTCTAAATGGCTGATAATGATATTGTGGGCTTGTCAATTTGTCATTCCTTATGAGAGTCCACATAGCAATTTATTGGTATTCAGTTTATCAACTGGCATCCTGTTTATTTTATGTAGTTTGTTTCCTTTCGGAGAGTTCACATAGCTAATTATATTTAAGTATTTGATGAAGTCTTTATAACATACCTGTTGTGGCCAGGGTAGTGAGACAGCCACAAGTATTACACTGTACCTCTGTATTTCGTGAATTTAACAGTAATATCAGTGGCAACAGAGCTCCACTGTTTACTAGTACTTCCTTATTCTCTCCTATAAAATATAGTTTATTCTCTATTATTTTGAGAGTTCTACATCAGAAATCATTGTACACTGCATGACATAACTGTTTTTATTAGACACAGGGTTACTTCAGTGAGATATATAAAAAATTGGGGGGAATTTCTTGAAAAACTATGTGTACTGATACTTGATTTTGGTATTATCAACATTTTATTCTTCTGCAATTTGAAGTGGTAACACCCTGCAAAACCTTGCTATTAGAATCAATGGGGAAGTCTTTGGTATATGTATCAAAACAATTGCCTATTATGGACACACCCAGTTTGGCAAGTAAAAAACTTTGCACTTCACACTAAAATATATGATATACGAAAACAAAATCTTGTCTTACCTGGTCCATTCAATATAAAGTTACTCATAGCCAGGGTGGTTATTTTCTGAACCTGAATATCACTAGAGCCTAGTAACTCAACCAGAGGAAGAGCTAGAGACTGGGTTAGTGGTGTTTTTACTGAAAATATTCATAATGATATCTTTAAATTGATAGTATTGTCCATGTTTTTTAACGTTTCCACTAATCGCTTTCTTCAGAAACACTTGAGAAGTTTACAATCATATTGAAAATCCTCAAAGAACAGGGCCTACATTTTCTGACTCTACTGCAGCTGACGATCAATAGCTATCAGAGGTTGGAAGAGAGACAGATGTTTCAGACAAGCTTGGCAAGTGTAGTAACATCCAAATTGTATTGTAATCCCATTGCCACTGACTTAAATCTTTACCTCTATCAGCTATTTCTGTATAACACAGTGCTGCTGATCTCTGGAGTTCCTCATTGTCAGAGAATGTTAGAATTGTCAGAGCTCTGATATGTTCCTCAGTTAACTTGGTCACTTTATCAGAATCTGGAAAGATACCAATTGATAAATACAATTCAATGTCTAGATGTTAAAATTCAATACTTCTATTTTAAATGTTGATTTCGGTACCTTCATAATAATGTATTAGGCACAGTTGTCTGCCAAGTTTCTAGTAAAAACAAATTAGATTGCTAGTCTTTGTATGTGTATCAAGAAGACTTTATCTGGCCTGTAGCAACAGGAGGGCAATGGGGCCCCTCCAAATATATTACTTCCCCCTCCAGATATATTACTTGCCCCTCCAAACAATCAAGTTTGGCTACAGGACTGGACTTGGGCTGTAATATACCATTCTGATTTCCTAAACAACATCAGGAATTCCTGCAATCCCAAAAATATTAAAACAAATATGATTTTTGGATCTCAATTGACAACTTAAATGTATCAAATTGATGGCTTACCACTAGAATTAGATTCTAGATAACTAAGAAGATTTTCTACAGCCTGTTTCTCATTATCTAACAGCATAGTATCATAGTCATCACCATTGAGACCATTATTAGCCTGGGGTCCAGGATAACACCCACATGTAAATATACATAGACAGTATTTTAACATTTTCTGTAGGAACTCAATAACTTCCTCTATTGGTGTTGGTTTGGGTTGTTCTATTTTTATATCGAACTCCTTCATCATTACTGTATGCTGCAATAACAGAATGAATGAATGAATAGATAAATGCTGGAATAACAGAGTGACAAAATGAATGAATGAACGAGTAAATGCTGGAATAACAGAATGACAAAATGAATGAATGAACGAGTAAATGCTGGAATAACAGAATGACAAAATGAATGAATGAACGAGTAAATGCTGGAATAACAGAATGACAAAATGAATGAATGAATGAGTGAGTGAATGCAGGAATTAAGTAAATAAATAGATAGAGTTAATGCCGGAGTAAATCATAGAATATGTAAATGATTATGTAAGTAATTCAAATATGTAAATAATTAAATTCGAAATTATTAAATGAAACCTTACACTTATTTTCTAACACAGATAAATCCCAAAATGCTAGAAAAACTTTTCCAAAGAACAGAAAAAACTAGTGTTTAAAATTCTAAATGTAATAAACCTTACACTGTTCAGCACAGATAACTAAAGAAAGGAGTTAAACCCCACACTTGTTACTCAAATAACTGTGGTTAATTCTAAACAAAAAAATTATTATAGTCCAATATAGTTTTAAAATATCTGTATTAACCATCTGATGTATAAAGCTTGATCCAGTTCATTAGTAACAAAGAAAACATATAAATACATTAGACTACAATACTTAAACTGTGTCAAATGACACCATTTATAGAAACTAGGTGAAAACTATTATGATGACCTAGTTATTAACAGGTGCTTGTTTTTAAAATTGGTATAAAATGGTCCAATAAAAATACTTATACATAGCTGATGAGTTGGGATGATGAGTTGCCAGTTTTTTTGGTTCAAAAAATCTATTCAGAATATTTCTTAGTTTATTTTTTAACATCAAGTTCAAACAGATAAAAATTTTAATGGTTCCTTCAGATGCTTAAGAGAGTTGTTGATATCTGTAATTGAAAACTTGAACCCCTGTCATACCTTGATGATTTCTATATTAACACAGACAGAAAGAGACAGTTGTTTATCTGTTTATAGGTCATCCTGTCCTAATTCTGAATATAAACCATTAGTAAAATTATAAATAGAACTAAATCACTCAGATATTATATAAGATATTCTCAGTTTGCAGCTGATAACACCCTTCTCATGATTCCAATTGATCCAGAATTTTGAAAAACCATTTGGGTGGGGTATTCTCTTCCTCTAACCCCTGTTTGAAAACAGAGAGATAGATCATGACATCACTTCTAAGAACTACTAACTCTAAACACTCAAATTGGAAGAATACAGGTGCATTGGGTCAGTAGGTCATCTATTTTTAGCTGCCATGTGCTCAAGCTAGTCTTAGCCAATCAGAGAAGATCTGATATTATTTTCTATGAATAAAGATCATCTATAATAATCAAGAGTATCAAGAGTGAATATTGATCTGAAAACTAAGGCAGGGGGTCTCCAAGATAAAATATTAAAATTATAAAGGTATGACTTGATACAATCAGCCTGTAGATTACTTTTAGCACAAATAGCTACAAGATGTGCACATTAAATATCCCTCGACAGTTTGAAAAAGAGTAGGTTAATGCCACTATTCTGTCTTCATTAGCCCAATTCGGTGTGGAAAAGTAGGATGTGAAACTCCATTCATTTTATTGAGTTCCAATGGACTTAAGTAGAGAAGTAGAACAAATTTCCTTTCAAGATAACTTTTCAGATAAATTGTGGCCAGATGAATTCAATATTTAAATAGCTTTTGTTATACTGGACAATAAAACTAAGAGTAGAATAGTATATATTGTATCATGATGTTCAATGTAGACTAGATCAACAATGTAGACACTTGATAAACATCAGTCCAGACTGTCATCAGGAAGTCCCGACAATATAACAATCCAGCAACACCTGTCAGACTGGTAGTTCATCTCAAATTTAATAGAATATTCAACAGAAACCTAGTCATATAGATCATAGAAATAAGTAGGTCAGAGTTCTACCAATGCACATGCAAACTGCTTCAACACTTGCTGCCTGATTAGCATCTATCAAGGAACATAAAATATTCAACCTAGCCTACTCTTATAACTCCCATTCCCCTTGCTTAAAAAACGGCTGTTGAAACACAATTTGAGACCTTTCTACTCCCCTAGCCTTAACCCTTTCAGTTGCTACATCATACACTATTCCTTTAATACAATAATCTTTCAACAATTCTATTCTATTTCTATCAGTTAACTATACCACATACAACTGTTCCTATACCACATATAATGCTTTAAAAAAATTATTTATTTGCTTCATTTTAAAATGTATCAAATTTCCACAGAATCAGAACTTCTCGGATTAACCCATTGTCGATACAAGATACAAATTACTACCAGTAATATAGAATTTGTTTGAAGCTTTCTTCAATGAAAAATGTAAATCAAATAACTCAAAAATTGTCAGTGTATTACCTTATTCTTTACTGACCTAAATATATCAGAAATGCTTAGGCTTTTAACTGTTTTCTCTGGTTTTTATTGTTTTTTGTGAGGTCCTTCTCGCCTTCAACACACGCGTACACTGCATCGTAAACAAAGAAAGTTTGTCCAGACTTTTCCTTTGTTAGCCCATTTACAATTAAGTCTTGTCAATCAAGACTAATTTTAAAGGGATACTATATCTATTTTAAGATTTCAGACCCAAATTAATTTATCATTTAAAGAGCCATTGTTCTTCATATCTTTCAGAGTTACGTGGTCAAGACAAGAACCAAATCTGCGAATTTTTTTTTTTACTTCTACTGCTTTCAAAATGGGTAAGAACTCTAATTAATACTTTGCATTATTCATTTATTCGGATGTTCGATTTGGATAGTAGACCTTGTCCTTTAGTTTTGTCAATTTTGAGGCTTCCTTATGTTTTAAAGATAAGCTAGGTATAAAATGGCACGTCTATCATTAATCTATCACTAGCATAAAATGCACGCGCATTATGCAATATGACCTACAAATTATTATTGATAAAAAAAGAAATTGGAAAAACATGATTTGACTCAGGCTACCTCTCTGTAAAGTTTTACTACATTCCCTTGTTAGATTCCGTAATGTGATTTATTTGCAGGTCTCTGTCCAAGTGCCGAGCCCCGACCACAAGAGATAGAAACTCAAAGAAACAATATCTCAGTTGTGAACAACAACACCAAAGTAGATAGCAACTTTTATGAGATTGGCGGAAACGATAGTCCAATAGAGGATTCAAACTCTATACGGAATGGTTTGGACGATTGTCCTACGGTGAGTGTCAGATGGCGGGTAACTAGTAGACTCCGGTTTCAGACTTTCGAAGGGTGATCTCCCTTCACCCTCCGAAAGCAGCGTCATAACCATGGCACCAGAGCCATTTTACAAGACCAAATCACAAATAGAACCACCACGCCGTGGTACCATTAAAAATAAATATACGCCCACATTAACAGAAACAGAACAACCCTTTCCTAGGTAGAAATTTTGCTTTGCATTCTATAAATATGACACTATCATTGTGCCCAATTTCAAGACTTGCTTTGCTTTCTATAAGATCAAATTGTATCCATTTACCTTGGATGAGCCTCTCTATCAAACAATCCTAATAGTTTTGATGCTATGGTTGTTATGATTTTATGTTTCGCCAACATATGTTTTTAACCAGTTTTTATTGATATTAAAATATAATCAAGAAGCTTGGGTGGGATTGATTAATCTTTTAATAAACGTTTACGAATCAGACGTTTTTTTGCGTGTTAACAATCACCAGCTGGATCATCCAACTTCTTGACGAAGTATCAGAAATATTCTAGGTCTGTACATTTTGGTGGAAGACACCCCTTCCTCACCAGCTGGACCCCCAAACTACTTAATGAAACAATAAAAATACCTAAGATCTGTACATTTGGGGAAAGATACCCCTTCCTCACTAGCTGGATCATCCAACTACTTAATGAAAGAATAAAAACCACCCAAAGTCTCTACATTTGGCGGAAGACACACCCTTGCTAAAATCGAATTTCCAATAATAACTTGATGGTATTGCTTTCACTCGGTTTGCAAGTCTCCTTTTAACAATTCTGTTCTATATTACTTTGACAACACAAACAATGTAGTTGTAGTTTGTACGCTAGTATTGGTTCTTTGACCAAAAAGACTTCCATGCTTCGACCCACTTTAACAACGGAAACTGCCATTGTTCCAAACCTGTTAGCAAGTTGAACACGATAGTACGTATGAATGCAATCATGGTTTATTGTCAAAACTGGTTCGTCATGCCATTGTGAAGTAAAAATTGAACATAATAGGGGTTGAATGACGAACAAGCACCTGTTTATCAAAACCAATCTTCACAATGTCAAGCTATTATAAACTTCGTATAACTTGACATTGTGAAGATCTAAATCTGGTTCGGAATGTCTCTCACTCCAATGAATCATCATTTTATATACATTTTAAAAAGTTAGAAAAAAACCATTTATATTAATTACTGATGTTATATAAGTGAAACATATTCATATACGCGTGAATACAAAATTGTGGAGCAATAGAAACACAGCTGAGTGTGATAAATTTAATGAACTTCTATTAACCCTTACCACCCGATCCTGTAAAATTAGCTGTTCAACTGGTGGGTATATATTTTATGACATTCGTCACTCTTACCACCCGATCCTGTAAAATTAGCTGCTCTAGGGTTTATATTTAGCTTTTATTATAAAAACGATCATGCTGGGGATATATTTTAGGACAATAAGTTTAAAAAACACTCATCCGATCCTGTTACCCTTACCACCCGATCCTGTAAAATTAGCCGCTTTAACGTTTATATTTAGCTGTTACTGCAAGAACGATCATGCGAGGGGATATATTTTAGGAGAGTGCCAAGGGGCTCATTCACCTCGTGTTAAAGCCAGAAGGTTTTCTCCAGATCCGAAATTTAAAATGTTTATTGAT